TTTTTTTTTTTTTTTTTTTTTGATAAAATTGAAATAAATATGAATTTTTTGATTCTTTGAAATGTGTGATATTTCATCTGTCAAGCAAATTGCAATGATGGAATACACTCTGTTAGATGGGATGTGCTATGCAAAGTGATGTGATGCTCCATATGAGGCCTTAACAGATAAGTGTAATTTATTTATAAATATAATTATTTTATTATAGTACACAATAAAAAAAAATTGATACCCAAAATTTACCACTAGTTATTTAGTTACATTCAGGTGACAAGTTATTCATTTAAAAACCACTATTCTAACATAATAACTTATAAAGATTAATATAATACAGCAGGGATAGTCAATCTTTTTAAACCTATTGTCCACTTTTGTATCTTTGTTGGTAGTAAAATTTTATAACTGCCCACCAGTTCTGCAGTAACTTAATTTAGCACAACTGCAAAGTACTTGTAATTTTTGAGTGGCGGTTTAGTAAAAATACACAGTTAAATTTATCTTTTTATTGACAAGACTATGTCTTATTAAACAAAAAAATTAAAGACAGTCTGCCCAAAAGGGGCCACCATTTATTTTTTGTGTTCCTGACTTCACATTCATGGCGACAGACCTTCCTTTATAGGCTACATGCTGCCAGAATTTAAAAACAGTCCTTTAAAAAACACAATTACATCCAATTAAAAAAATCTTTTTAAAAAAAGGAACTGGTGTTATACAGACGTCTTGCTTTCCATTCTTCCTATGGGGTGTTTCTGCTTTTATCTACTGGAACAAGCGCTGGAAAATCCAGATTTTGAAAACTTCTCCCTGGTGACGATACATTCCAATTTTTTCTTTTGCAAATTTTTCGTCCAATGGAGATTATTATTATTATTATTAAACAAAAAATTAAAAACAGTCTGCCCAAAAGGGGCCACCATTTATTTTTTGTGTTCCAGACTGAATGTGAAGTCTGGAACTCAAAAAATAAATGGTGGCCCCTTTTGGGCAGACTGTTTTTAATTTTTTGTTTAATAATAATAATAATCTTCATTGGACAAAAAAATTTGCAAAAGACTATGTCTTGTTTATAAAATTGCAGTGCTGTCCTGGTTTACTAGCTTAGAGATATGAAGGAGTACATGTCAGGACTTGCAATTTGGCACAGAGTATTAGGTGCCCAAATCATGCACGCATGAAAAAAATCAGACTTGTAGGTACTCATAGGACCTAGAACTGAGTCAAAATAAAATACAAAATGGCTACTGTTTCTATAAACAGGCAAGAGTGTGAGATTTGTGCATGCGTTGATCATTGGGAAGTTGGAAATGCAAATCTTGCGAAATTGAATTTTGACAAATAAATCTTTGAAAAAACCCATTTACCTGTCCTGTGTTATTCCCGACATATCTGTGGTTGCGATGTGCTGACATTGACCGGTTGACCCAAGATATCTTGTTTCAGCATCAGAACAGAATCAGAATTTTTGAAACTAGATGGTGCTAGTCATTATAATTTTATATTAAAACTAACTTCTGAAATATAATCTTTTTTTTTTTTTTTACATTTATTAATATATATATTTTGTTTGTGCAAAATAAAAAAATAATTTTGGACGATACAATAGCCATGATTATTTTTTTTCAAAAATGGGAAATTTTCCTTAGGCATTGACAAAAATTCAACTCGGGGTGACACGCAATGGAGAAAAATTTTGACAATGGATAGGTTAATTTCACCAAAAATGCATCGTGGATGACCTCATGGTCATGGCCGAGGCCGGTAAAGTTTGAACAATTGCGCTCAAAACTGGCGATACCAAAGAAGATTGGAGAATGAGAACAAGACCCGCCGTGAGCGTCGAAGTGATCTTGCTTTCTAGTGAGTCTTCAAGACATAGTCTTGTCCCAAATGTGGCCTTGTCATTTTATTTGTTTTTGCATATGTTACACCCCACCCTTGTTATGCACATTAGAGTGCAGTACAACCTGCTTCTTTAGTGAATCATAGATGCACGGTGATGACGGAAAGTAGCTTNATATATATATAGAATTATTTTATAAGAAAAATTAAAATATTTAAAAATTGATGTGACTAATTTAATTTTTAAAAACAGTTTGGCAAGAAAACTATGTAATAAAATTACCTGTTGTTTGTTACAAGGTCTTTCACTCTAAATAAAGTATAGTTAAAAATCTTTTAAACATACTATTGCTTTGTTTTGATGTCTTAACTTTTTAATGTACAGAATTGAATTTAACTTGAAAATATTGTAATTATGAAACTAAAACTAAAAAGTATTTATTTAAAATCTAGATTTGCAATCACTGTTTGGTATTTTGATGAAGTTGAACGTGAGTGTGCCTTAGAAAGACTAAGAAGTTGCAAATTGAGAATATGAAGAAATAATAAGGTAGTAAATTTTAATTATTTTGAATTATTTTTCATAACATTTCATTATTTGAAGTTATAGGAAAAATAGTTATATATAATAATTTTTTAAGTTAATAATTTAGAAAATATTTCAGTAATGTCTCTAATTTAAAAATGCTATAAATTTAGTTTGAATCAATGTATTACAACTTAGTAATTACTCTTGTTAATGAAAAAAATTTGTATTTGTTCATTTGGAACGTCTGGTTTTAACTGTTACTATAAAAAGTCTGTTGAAAAGAATCCCATTGTTAATCTATTGTGTATTTACATGAAGGAATTAAACTTGTGTTAAAGTACTTCGCATTTTATTATTAGATGAAATTATTAGATGNGATCTTGCTTTCTAGTGAGTCTTCAAGACATAGTCTTGTCCCAAATGTGGCCTTGTCATTTTATTTGTTTTTGCATATGTTACACCCCACCCTTGTTATGCACATTAGAGTGCAGTACAACCTGCTTCTTTAGTGAATCATAGATGCACGGTGATGACAGAAAGTAGCTTCATCGGACAAAACTCCTACTGCCCATCACGAAAGCTCAAATTGCTCACTAGTGAGTGGTATGGTCCAGGTTGACTACCACCATAATAAAGCATTCAGAAGCAAGCAAAATTTAAAAAATTATTTAGTTAATACTTACTTTAATTTAGTCTTTCTAGCTGTTAATTGAACATATTCTCTAACAAACTATTTTCAATTTTTAACATATGTTTTATATACAGAAATTTTCAGATTAATCTTTTTGATATGAATGACTCTATCTTCAACATTAAGACTTAAAAAATGTAAGATTGTTAATGAAGCTCAACGTATCACCATTTATTATGACTAAGTGCTTTTAAAAAAGATCTGCATCATGTCATTAGATCAAAATTACAGATTGAACATATGTAAACATTATGTACATTTATTATGATTAAATATATTAATATAGAACAATGAATTATTATTAATATGGTGGGACCACCATATCTGCAGATGATACATTCCAAAGTCTACCATGGATAGTAGCAAACTATCTACAAAACCCATATTCATGCATGCATATAATGTGATAGATCAAGGGAAAATAAAAATATAGATACTGTTACATATGTATTTTTCATTGTTTCATATATCTACACTTAACACGGTGCCACAATTAACACACAGTGGTACATAGAAACTTTGCAAAAATTGAAGTGTGCCATCAAATCCAAACATCCAGGAATGTTGACAGACAGCATCATTCTGTTGCAGGATAATGCCCACCCACATGTTACCAAGGTTGCTTTGACTACACTGCAGAAGTTTCGCTGGGAACTTCTGCAGCGTAGTCCATACACATCCTCCATACAGTCCTGATTTCTCCCCATACGATTTCCGTATTTTTGGAGCCCTGAAGAAAGACATTCGTGACCATCAATTTGCTTTGGACGAAAAGGTGCATGCCTGGGTACAATCATGGTTCCGTAGGTAACCGCAAACATTTTTCTATGAAGGCATTGACCATCTTGTCTCACAGTGGGATAAATGTATTAACAGTTATAGCAATTACTTTTGAAATAATAAACAGTTTACTTACATTTTTCCCATCTGTCTTGTTTTCATTTGACTGCCCCTAATATATAAAAACTACTGGTTTGCACTAGAAGTCACATTATTTCAATTTAAAAATTTTCTCCTGAAAGAAGTTAGATGACTGACATGACTCTATTGCTAGCAGAAAAGTGTGATGTACAAGACACTACTAATTTGAGGTGGAGAGCATATAATTTAAATTAAATTAAAAATATTAAAAATTGCAGCCTGGCATTGTGATGATGTCATAATAAATAATTGCTCATTTTTTAACTTTGCTGGAAACATGCTAGCAGTGTCCTCATTAGAAGATGTGGCTTCTCCAGTAATTTTTTAATTTTAGATTAAACTTATTTTTGAAACTATGTAACACCCCTTACTTACTGTAAATAGTTTAGTTTCCTTTTTAATTACATCTTGTGACCTAATGTCTCTGTATAAGTTCAATGTATTTTGCTGTAATATGTTGCCATCAATAGACACTCTTTTTCTAATCATATCTTCTACCCACAGATTTAATGCCTTTTTTCATCTTGAGTAACACCTTATTATGCATTGTACCAGAAATTTTTGCAGATTGTAGTACAACAGAAAACTGGCAAAAATTTTTATCATTGTTTTTTATTACTTCATGTATCAAAGATTTGTTTTTTCCATACAGCTTGATGATAATCTCCACAATTTTTTTTCTATTGACTGTATTGAGAATTTTCACTTTTTCACTTACAGTTAGTACTTCTTAGGCTTATAACCCATTTTAGAAGTTATTTAAAAACTTACTTGAACAAAAATATTTTAAATTCAGTCAAACAAAAAAACCCTCTATTTGATCCAACAAATCTAGCAAAACTAAATAAAAAGTGTGCACTGCATGCAAAATCTCATGAATCTTGTGATCAAAGTGAGTTTTGACAAGTTTACAAGTAGTGCCTACATGGCATTTGTGAACTACAGATACAGTGGTACCTCAGGATACGAAATTAAACCGTTCCGAAACTGAGATCGTATCATGAAAATGTCGTAAGGTGGATCATCTTTTCCCATACGATTACATGTAAAACCAAATAATTCGTTCCAACGCGAAAAACATACTCAAATTAAAGCCAAGTAATACATTTAAAAAAATAACTGTAGTAAGAAAAACAAATGAAAAATGCGAACTAATGTAACGTCGTATGGTGAGTTTTTGTTCGTATCGTGGAGCAAAAATATGTTCGAATTTCATGTCGTATCCTGAAAATTTCGTATGCTGGGGCGTTCGTAACCTGAAGTACCACTGTAATTGAAAACATGGTTATTCAGACCGTGGATACAGCAGTCTCATTGTATGTTTAATCATAAAAAAATTGGTGATTCCTTAAATTTTATTAGAAGTTTTAATTCCTTTGTCTAAATTTTAGGATTAAAATTTCAATTACAAAAAATATATTTTTGTTTAATAATTACTGAATTATTAAAAGTTTAAAACAAAATATGTGATGTTAGACATATTTTCTTGATTATAATCACACTCATAAAATGACATGGCCTTTTAAGAGAGCGAAACCTTTTATTTATAATTCATTAATGCCTAATATATCAATTAAATTAAAATTTATCAAAGTATTAATAATACATGAACAAAATATCTTACTGAAAATGAATACTTTTAATTATTGCAAACAAAATTATAATTATAAAAATTGATAAATTATACTATTAAATTATAATTATTTATATATATATTATTTCATTAACATCTAGACTTTATGGAATAGTAGATGACTAAGATTGAAAGAAAAAATTTTTTTAAAACATAATTTTATTAGTTTGCAAGTTTGACTTTATTACATTTAAAATTATTATATTATTTCAAGTACTTCACTCTATACTAAATTATAATATTGAGTAAGCCATAATTTATGGTATTAAATGAATAAAGATTTTAAATTTATTATTTTTAATAGTATTTAAAATTAGTAAATTCTATAATTGTGGTAACAAATTTTAAATTTATTTTGTTAAATAATACAATACTTCAACCTGACAGCTACAGTTTATTATTATAAGCTATATTCAGTGTTTTTTTCTTTATGTTGTAAACCTCATTGTCTTCAGTTTAACGATTGGTTTCCTTCATGTCTAATGCTAAGAGACTTGCTCATAAAACAAATTTAATTCAGTTAATTGGATATGAAACAAAGAAAATAAGAGTTGTAAAAGAATTATGGCTAGGTGTCCAGTAAGGTAAAATATTCCTGAACATCAGGAAAAAGCAATAGACATCAATATATAAAATTTCATATAAAAAACAAAACAATGAAGTTAGAAAAGGTGCTGCTTTTGGTTTGTTTATCTTTTTTGCCTATATTGTAAATGAACTTAGCCTGTTTTATAGAATTATTGTAAATTATTTTTTAATATTGTAATATGTATTTTTGTTTATTTTTTATTAATAAGGTTTATATACACTAATGTTTCTAAAGTATTGCATACTTGTTGAGTTTATACAAATCAGCAGAATGTTAATAATGTGGATGTAACCTATGATAGGGGTAATGTATTAGTGATAAGTAGTGATAAATATAAAAGAAAAATAAGAGCTGCAAAATTTACTACAGTTTATTCTTATATAGACAGATGTTACAATATAATGCTTGAAATTGTAGAAACTGTTTTGCAGATACACTTGAAGTGTTAATAAACAAAAGAATTTAGACAAAATATTTGTGAAAACAGGATATGAATACATTAATGTATACATTGTATTCATTAATATTTCATGATAACATTGTTGGCTTTAATAACAGCTTGAATTTTCTTCACTATGTTGTCAATCAGGCTTCAAATAACATCATGACTAATAATATAATGCCATATATAAATAGCTTCTTTCAGCTTCTGTTCAGTTGAAGACCATGCTTTTTGACTTCAAGAGCCATGAGATGCTATGCATATTCAATTGATTAAGATTTTGTGAATTTTTAGCCCAATCTAGCACTTTCATTTTCAGTTTGGAGAATTCTCTTTGCATAATAGTTCTATATTAATTATCTAAATATATAAAATTACTTGTTCTGACTGACTGACTGATTCATCGTTGCCCAGAGCAAACCACTGAACCTAGAGACGTGAAAACAGTTAGGGTCATCATCATCATGGGTGTTCTGTCCTAGGACAGGTCCATGGAAAGCAGTCAATTTATAGAATTCTCCTTCTCCAACATTTTCTATTTCGGGCTTCCTCTTTTATTTCTTTATAAGTTTTGCCTAGTAAAACATCATCTATCAATATTTTTCTTTTTCTTCCTCTTTGTTTCCTTGCATCAATTTTTCCTTCTAATGCCACTCGCATTAATCATTCTCCTCGCAATATATGACCTAGCCAGTTATTTTTTCTTCTTTGTATTGTTTTTAAAAGAGATCTCTATTCCTGGACC